TATATATATATATATATATATTCTTTTATCACTTTACTTTATGTATTGTCATGTTTGGGAGTAGATTTTAAAATGTCAACTCCGTGGAATTTGTATAGATTTTTGGTTTCTTAATATCTGTGGAAATAACAAGCATTAAAATTCTCTTTCAGTAAGGGTTATTATATTTAACTGAAACTGAAACTAAAACCATAAAAATAAAATAAATGTTACCTGAAATTAAAATAAAATATAAATATAGAATTGTATAAATATTATAATCTAATAAATAAAACTAAAATAAATAAAACTAAAAATGAAATTAAAATAAAAACGATATAGACTATATAGACTTAAACTAAAATGAAAACAGAAAATCTAAAAATAAAATTAATTCAAAATATTAATAAAATCTATATTAGAACAATATTGAATGTTCATAATGTTTCATGATGAGGTATTGTAATGCCAAATTAAACGTATCTTTCTGATGTATATTTTATTTCATGTATAATATATATGAATATGTAAGGCAAAGTGAATGTTCTTAAGAAAATATATATTTTTTTTATTCTAGACAGTAGTGAGATTAAATGGAGATTTTTATGCAAAAGATGTATCAAAAGGTAGATTTCAATTTGAACACAACATTCTCATTAGATTTTTTATTGAAAACTTAAATAATAATTATAATATTATAAAATAAATTAATTAGCATCAATTTTTGAATTCTTACTCTAGTCAGATTTGTTTCTATTTTTTTTTTCTCCCCAGCAATGAGAAACATCTGAGACAAAGTTGATACCTAAACAAAATATAATTGAGAAATCCATTAAGTCTCCTGAGTTTGAAAGAGCAATAACATTTTCTTCTGGTCGTATTTATATAATTAGCATAATATTTTAATGACCAAGTGAAAACTGTCTGAGAAAAATCTCCATGAAATCAAATAATGTGTATCCGGTAATATTTGTATAATGAAAAGCATCTTAATCTAATAAACATGGTTTTTTTTTTTAAATCTGACGACGACAGATATTTCCAGTAGTATTAAAATAGTGGTGTCTTTATTATAGAATAACCTTCCCCAAGAAGGACATAAGCTGAGGGAGATCTAGCATGCATCAGACGACCGTTGACATTCACTGTGTTGGTGGAATTTTAGGTTAATCAAACATAGTTATTCTTAGACGCTCTGAATTGCCTTTTTAAGCTATGAATCTCAGGAAGTGAGTCATTGCCACAGTGGGGTTAAGCACTGACATGGATTATTATTGCTCTTTATGGCAATGTCTTTCACTTAAGGCTCATCTCCGCATCAATTAGATCGGGTCGGACATGTTACCAAAACACAGTTCTTCACAGACTGTGGAAAACATCTTCTCAGAGTTGGTTTTCTGCTCATAATTAGTCAGTGTCCACAGATTTTCTAAGTAAAGCTCATCTGCGGTTCACAGTATGTTTGTGTGTCGTAATCATAAAGATGGCGTGACATTCCCTAACTCTTTGGACAGACTGGAAATATTGAATGCCTGAAGAAAATTCATTGTAAACAATAAACATGGATTTTACATATTTGTGTGTGTGTACAAAACTATGGATTTTATATATTTGTGTGTGTGTGTGTGTGTGTTTGTGTGTGTGTAAGAATGTGTGTAAAGTGAATAAGACATTTTTGTTTCTCAGTAGTAAGATAATGGGAAACATATGAGGATGTCTATTAAAGTTGTTGCTTCTCAAATTGTTCTTCTGAGAAGATAAATAAAAATTCAGAGCTTTCAATTTAAACTTTTCTCATTAGATTTCTAATTAAAATTAAAATTTGAACAAAAATATACATTAAGGTTTTGCATCAGCCCTGTTACCGTCGTATTTTACATTTTAGTAATAAACATTCCATCAATTAAATATTCCATGGAATTTTCATAAACACAAAGAAAAATCCAGAAAAAGATGATAGATAGACAGACAGACAGACAGACAGACAGATAGACAGATAGACAGATAGATAGATAGATAGATAGATAGATAGATAGATAGACAGACAGACAGATAGATAGAGAGATAGATAGATAGATAGATAGATAGACAGACAGACAGATAGATAGAGAGATAGATAGATAGATAGATAGATAGATAGATAGATAGATAGAGTTGACTTGAATTTAGGTAGAAAAACCTAACAAAAAATCCAGCAGCTTATGTATGTATATAAAGTTGACTTTAGGTTATGCATCAACCCTGTTACCGTCAAATTTTCCATTTTAGTAATGAACTATTCCATTAATTTCAAAGAATTTTCTTAAACACAAAGTATAACAATATATATATATATATACTGTATATATAGTTGATTTTAGGTTATGTGTCAACCCTTTTACCACCATATTTCTTAAACAAAAAAAATCCAAAATCTATTTGACTTTTATTTGAATTGTTTTTTATTTAAATGAATGTTTAAAGTAAAGCGAATGTTTAAATGCTGTAACTGGTCCTATGTAGTGTCCTATGTAGTGTTTCATAAAATATGAGTTGATTAGCAAAATGCTCTTTGATGTCAACTAACAATGTTAGAGATTCCTCAATACAATTTCTCAACACTTCAACACATTTGTCTCATACAGTCCAACAGAAATCTACTTTCAAGACCAACGTTTATAAAAGTAACCCATTTCACAGAACGGACCATCTCTCAAATAACATGTACCTTCATTCTTGATCATTTCCTGTAACGGTGACACTTTTCTTTTTCTCATTCATCTTATCACTCAAACCAATGAAGCTGAGCCTCTACACACCACATACTTTCTGTTCTCCTCTGTCATTTCCTCCAAACCACGTGCATATGTCCGCTTTCTACGTGCCGCGCCAGCTCATTAAGAAACATTTTTCCGGTGAATTAGTTGTCATTGGCTGGTCTACACTGGGTTCCTGGCTGCGTTCCTCAGGTTCTGATAGGCCTCAGATTTAAGGAACCTTGGGCAGGAGTCTTCCTCCATAAGTCTGTATATATGCATCTCGGCTTCATCAAAACAAGTGAGGTCAGGCTTCACCAAGGATCTCTTGATCTTCTCACGAGTGTGATGGTTGATGTTTACCTGCAAAATTGTAACATCCATGAAAGATAACTGAAGTATAGGCCTATTTCTATAGTGACAATGGTGTTTAGTTTGTTAAGCAAATGGCAAATGCAAAAAGTCTGGCTTGTTTTTCTTTTGACCCATCATTAATGCATTTTAAAAAGTTCATTTACGACCTGCAAGGGCACATTTATTTTTGAAGAAATTTGGTGTCTTGTTTCTGGGGTTTGAACCTACAACTTTCTTTCCGTTACTATTCCAAATACCCTTTGCAGCTCCCCTCCAATTAATAAGCATTACTCTGATGCAATGGCATTTCCATTCTATTTAACGCTTTAATGAGTGCCCATACTGACCTCTTTTTGAGCCATGGGATGGAGAAACTCTTTGTAGATATCTGCTGCTTTGTTACAGAGTTTGCCAGATGAAGTCGTCCGCTTATATTCCCTGCAGGCAAGCCAAAATTCAATGTTCTCCGCACTAAACTCAGACTGAAGAAATGAACGAAAGGCATCCAGGTAGTCTGTTCGGAAAATAATACATTTATTTATATAATGATAAAAAAATAATAAACATATAAAAATAAACCCTATAGAGGTGATTGGTGGTTGAGCTAACCTATATTTTCTAGCAGATCAGCTAGCTTTGGCCCACGGTCTTGTAGTCTTAAAAAGATGAAGAAATGACAAGAAATTGGAGCTTTTTAGTTTTACCCATCTTTTTCGAATTATTTTACGAAGACTGCATGGACATTTGTATTTGAAATTTGTCTTTTTTCACACTGAAGGAATGAACTAGTAAAGGCAAAAACAGTCTGGCCTAAAAACGACTGCTTATGCATAAATTACCCATAAAATGATGATTTCAGTGTTGAAATTGTTCTATACACATGTATATAACAATTCAAAAACTTACTGATAATGAGAGTCTTCAGTATTTTTCTGAATCAAAACACATCTGATATTGTTTTTCTGCTTTTTCCTGCTCACCAGAACATCCAGTCTAAATTCAAATAAACACTTTAGTAAATATCCATCTTTCAGTCGATTCAGAACGTTTGAATGCAGAGAGACGAGTAAAATTCATTTACGTTTTTGGTTGTTTCTTGTTCCGAATGAGGTCCTTGAACTCGTAGATCCGAATCTTCGAGAAACGCATTTTAGGCATCGTGGGGTGGCGGGAAATATTTATTCAGAATGATCCTCTATGTTTCATATTTTTGACAGACTTTTCCCATCTAGCGCCTGTATATACTGTCGCCAGGCAGATGGAGAGGGATGTTGTCATACCTGAACATGTTCACACAAATCTCTGGATTCCATTGACACTGCGAAGTCTTTAATCTGATCTCCCTGACTCATAAAACACACATATTCACACACAAGTTTACTCTTGAATTGGAGACGTATTATGTTACGATGGTTCTCTTGTTGCTGTGACAGCACGACAGTTGAAGAGAATAACATTAAGGCCTTGAATGAGGTGTATGAGACGGACATAGTACGTTTCTCAGTTTTATACGGTTGAGGTATTTATATATATATATATATATATATATGTATATATATATATATATGGGGTGGTTAAGGAAAGCTATAAAACATGACTATAACTTTGACGCCTATTTCAGTTTTGCATTAGTTAACCCGTTTTAATCCCAAATTTTTCCCAGACATGAAACTATCCAAATGAGGTCCTTGAACTCGTAGATCCGAATCTTCGAGAAACGCATTTTAGGCATCGTGGGGTGGCGGGAAATATTTATTCAGAATGATCCTCTATGTTTCATGTTTTTGACAGACTTTTCCCATCTAGCGCCTGTATATACTGTCGCCAGGCAGATGGAGAGGGATGTTGTCATACCTGAACATGTTCACACAAATCTCTGGATTCCATTGACACTGCGAAGTCTTTAATCTGATCTCCCTGACTCATAAAACACACATATTCACACACAAGTTTACTCTTGAATTGGAGACGTATTATGTTACGATGGTTCTCTTGTTGCTGTGACAGCACGACAGTTGAAGAGAATAACATTAAGGCCTTGAATGAGGTGTATGAGACGGACATAGTACGTTTCTCAGTTTTATACGGTTGAGGTATTTATATATATATGTTGAGGCAAGTTGGAGCTAAACTCTGCAGGACACCGGCCCTCCAGGACTGAGTTTGGGCACCCCTGGCCTAGGTATTTCCTAGTATTATTAACTCTACTAACGTGAAATATGTGTAAGGTTAAAGCCAAAGAGTTTAAAAGCAATCTTTTCTGCCCTCTGCTGGTCATGATTGACTCTCACCGTATTTCTGGAACCAGGTTTCTCTGATTAGACTGCCATTGCAGCTCCTGTTTGCAATCGCACCAGCTCTCCCAGAAAATGACCTCTCTTGTGAAGGAAGGGCTCTCCACCAGAAGAGTTGACTTTTTCCATTCCTAAAACATACAATCGATAATATTAAAACAGTGTGAAAATAAAAACGACAGTCAGCTTTAAGAGAAAAAGGTTAACTTTTTTAATGTAGCCTAATCTTTTTGGTAACATTACATTATCGTTTACTGTCGTACTGTCGTTTATTATTAGAAACTAACCCGTTTAATCCCCATTTTTTCCCCCAGACATGAACATATCCAAATGATGTGTCATTCGTAACGCTTTGAAATAATCAATAATTAAAAAAAATTTTTTTTTAAGTGTGTGGAAAATTGTGTTTTATGGTCGGTCACAATTGTGACAGGTGGGATAAGGTGAGTACTGAATGAACATATTCTGCAGTCATAAAAATGGTTATATATCTTAGCCCAGCTATTTTAAACTGTTTGATCACATTCTAGGGTTATTATTACTATGCATAAAAAAACTTTATGCAACATTGATAGGAACACTGAGATAAAAAACAAAAAAATCAACGCATTTCAAAATTGTTACTTTTTTGCAAAATATAACATCACATTTTTATATTAGTGCTACCAGTATTACAACATCAATATTGTAAATTTTTTGTAACATTTGAATTTTTTATTTAGTGCAATATTTTGTCATTGCAACATTTTAGTGTAATTTTCACTAGCAACTGCAACTGGATTGATATTGTAAACCTAAGTTCACTGTTATCCCACCAGTCACTATTGTGACCATCAACATGTTTACTCATTCTATGACCACACTTAACAAAACTGAATATATGTGAATTCATATATTAATACTAGACACCTTAAAGATAATGTGTACCAAAAATCTTTGTCATATCGTTATGGTAACATACTTTACTAGCCTTTTGTTTTGGAGCTTTCTCAAGGTGCAAACAGGAAATAAACTGCTCTGGTCATGTGACAATTTGCACTAATCACGTGAAACTGCACATATTTCATTGAGACCCTTTATTTGTTCCATATTTGCAGGAAGTGCACTAAAACATCAGTCAGTAAGGTTGTTAGAGCTTTATAAATGAAAACCTTTTTTTACGGTCACTATTGTGACCGGTGGGATTAAACGGGTTAAGTAGCATGCATGGATGCATGCATAACTAACTAAATAAACAAACATAGGCTACCCCTTTCGATTGTGGTGTAAATCTTAGAGCTTTAAGTTAAATAGAAGTAATTTTATTTTAAGTTAAATATATTTTCACAACTTATCGTACACTGTCTCATTAGTAAATGTTAGGCTACCTGCTTCTTTCAGAAGATGTAAGCCTCGCTTTGCCTCTTCAATGGGCAAGACGAAAGAGGTCTTTGCAGTGTGGAAGCAAAATCCGCATTTGTAATTGCACTGCCGGGTAAAGTGGTAGTTTACACTGCTTGGAGTAGTCAACTGAGTGCTGGAGCCCTCTTTCTGCTCTTTGGTGCGAGTCTTCAGGCGACTGATCTCTCCGACAGGTGTTTGTTGCACCTGTGTGCCAGATACCAGTTTAAAAATCCATCCCAACAGGGCTGCTAAGCAGCTGTGGACGTTCTTGAAACAAAATTGCATTAGCATTGCTGCAAAACCAACTTGGTTTGATGTCAACATGGTGAAGATGTCTATAGGCTCTGAAAGCTCATACCTCCCTATTTTATACGGGGCCGTCTCAAGTTGCTTTTCTGATTAGTTTCTTTTCTTGCTTGGGAGGACTGGAAAATGAAAGATAAGTAGAATACTATCAGCTGAGTCAAACATAGGCTAGGCGTGGTGTTTTTTTCTCTTTATAGTCACCTGGATGTAACTGGATCGTTATGTTTTTTTCTTTAAAACACGGGGCAAATTATTAAGATACAGCTAGGTTTCATCTCATTGTCATTCTTGGAATACTAATAATGATAGGCCTATTAATAATTGATATTTAGGTCTTGTCCAAACATTTCAGCATTGACAACAACAAAAGCATTATGGTCGGTCACAATTGTGACCGGTGGGATAAGGTGAGTACTGAATTAATATATTTCTGCAGTCATAAAAATGGTTATATATCTTAGCCCAGCTATTTTAAACTGTTTGATCACATTCTAGGGTTATTATTACTATGCATAAAAAAACTTTATGCAACATTGATAGGAACACTGAGATAAAAAACAAAAAAATCAACGCATTTCAAAATTGTTACTTTTTTGCAAAATATAACATCACATTTTTATATTAGTGCTACCAGTATTACAACATCAATATTGTAAATTTTTTGTAACATTTGAATTTTTTATTTAGTGCAATATTTTGTCATTGCAACATTTTAGTGTAATTTTCACTAGCAACTGCAACTGGATTGATATTGTAAACCTAAGTTCACTGTTATCCCACCAGTCACTATTGTGACCATCAACATGTTTACTCATTCTATGACCACACTTAACAAAACTGAATATATGTGAATTCATATATTAATACTAGACACCTTAAAGATAATGTGTACCAAAAATCTTTGTCATATCGTTATGGTAACATACTTTACTAGCCTTTTGTTTTGGAGCTTTCTCAAGGTGCAAACAGGAAATAAACTGCTCTGGTCATGTGGCAATTTGCACTAATCATGTGAAACTGCACATATTTCATTGAGACCCTTTATTTTTTCCATGTTTGCAGGAAGTGCACTAAAATATCAGTCAGTAAGGTTTTTACAGCTTTATAAATGAAAACCTTTTTTACGGTCACAGATTAAACGGGAACGTACGAGAGTCGTCATTCAGATATTTCAAACAAGTGAAACATGTTGGAAACATTTTCAAAGATGTGAAACATCCTGTTAATGTTGTAACAGAGATCTTCAGGTTTTCACACTTGGCGGATGGACCGCGCCCACAGACAAGCATACACCCACTTTCTTTGAGTTTCAGAGTCACACCAAACATCAACGTTGGGCTCGTTCATTGAGGCGTTTTGTTAGTCATGTGGGAGTGGTAAGAATTTGATAACAGTGCTTGCTACATGTTTGCTGTGAGCTTAACTATGCTGCAATAGTAGGCTAATGTGCAAACATATTTATAGTTTAGCCACATCTTTTCATTGGGGTGGTTTGGTCTCATAATTAAAGGTGAAGTGTGAGATTTCTGTGCCTCTAGTGACACTAAAAGAATTGCGGCAATAATTATTATTAGTGTTTTAACATCCAAAAATACACACTTCACTCTTTCCCCTAAATAATAATAATACTATACTATACTATACTAATCTAAAATAAAAGCAATAATTTTATTGTAAAATAAAAACAATGGTTGACATTGTGCATATTTAAAAATAATCTGCAGTTTTAGTATCATACTCTAACAATGGTTTTAATATAATTTAAATATATAATAATTAAAATAGTATCATATAAAATAAAAATAATATAATAATAAATAATTTAAAGAAACAAAAAATAAATATAACAATTATAACTAAAATAACAAAATCATTTGTGAAAATAAGTAGGGTGGTATATTGTAAATATGTCCGCGTATGCATATTTTGCTTCTGCTCTATATTGTTTACTCACCAGGTGGCACACATGGCAAAGAAACCACTCTCAAGGTACAGAAACATTTTATTTGGTCTTACACTTTGCAAGCAACCACCAAGGGTGTGTGTTCATATCAGTTTTGTGATTGTAAAGCACTGGAATGTGGAAATTGCAGAAAGGAAAACGTGTATTAGAAAAGAAACACAAATGCATTGTTAATGGCTGTATAAATGAATGCTTACAAAAATGATTATATACATTTTAAAACTTGTCACAAAAGTTGCTGTGCTGAACATAATTTGTATTAAAATTTGTTGTATAAAATTAGAAAAATGCCAGATAGAAGCTTTTGATTAGTGGTCTCAGACTTTTATATTCCTCATTAATATGAAGTGGAATTTGACAAATTACAATATGCACTATAAGGTGAAAATACATAACAGTTTGCTGTAGAATAACTGAAGAGGTTTTTAAGCTTTCTCTAGAGTTTGACTTTGAAGCTTCGTACTCTTCTAGCCATTAGTCTCTGATTGTCTCCCATAGTGACTTTTCCTAACACCCACATCATCTTATGAAGCTGAAACAACACATATAAACTGGCCGCAATCAGGACTACACCAGTGACCGAGAGAACAATGTACAAAGCCATCATGAATCCACTGTAGGGACCCGTCGACGGGACAGTCCACAGGTACACCCAGCCATTGTAATGATTGTTGTGCACAATTTCAGGTTCGTTTTCCAGCACAATTGTATCGTAGAATGCCAGATCATTCTTGTTACCATTGCCTTGTTTCAAGTAAATATGATCAGGTGTAGGAGAAAGTAGAGAGGTGGCTGTTATAAAAGTACTTGTAGTTGCAGTCGCAGTATTTCTTGCTGTTGTGCTTGAAGTCGTAGACTAATGTGGGTTTGGTGTCACTGGAGTGGTAATGGCATTTGTACCAATAAACGTTGTCTGGAAAACACCACAATGGAGTTCTTCGTAAGTCAGCGTTTGCAGAGGATGGTTTTCTAAGCGGTACGGTTCATAGCATGTTACTCCTTTGTCCAAGTCACTGATTAGTTTTGGGTTTTCACGAATCCATTCTGCAATACCCATAATGCTACAATCGCAATTCCACTTGTTGCCACTAAGAGAGAGGTCCTTTAGCACCCTTGCGTGTACAAAAACATCTCCCGGGAGATACATCAGATAGTTGTGGTTCAGGTCTAGTATTTCTAGTCTTAAGGTGTTGCGAAAGATTGCCGATGGGAGAGACTCAAGCTTGTTCTCATTAAGCATCAGAATTTTAAGACTAATTAATTTTGAGAAAAGCTCCGGGTCCAGTTCCCGAAGGTTGTTGTTCTTCAGGGACAGTTTCTTCAGGTTGGGCAGGCAACAGAAGAGGCTCTTTGGCAGGGAGGTCAACTTGTTGTTGAAGTATAAATTGAGAGCTCGTAGGTTGGTCATGTTAGCAAAAAGGTTCCATGGGAGAGTGGATAGATTGGTTTCGTAAAGGTACAATTCTTGGAGCCTTGGCATGTGTCCCATTAGCTGGTAAGGTAGGGATATCAAGGGGTTCTTGTAGAGGGTGAGCTTGGTCAGGTTGGGCAAGTAGTAGAAGCTCTCGGATGGAATATACCGGAGTTGGTTGGCCGACATTGAGAGGGTGAGCAGGGACGGCAAGTGCCAGAAAAGACATGGAGGAATCTCTCGGATCTGGTTCTTCTGTAGCATTAGCACCAACAGGTTGCTTAAATGGTCAAAGGAACCACTTTCAAGTGTCTCCAATTGGTTGGACGAGATCACCAGAGATTTGAGTTGCCGGAGGTTGTGGAAAAGGGTCTTTGGGAGGTTCCTCAGTTGGTTATCAGCTAAGTTTAGGTAATTCAGCTTGGTCAAACTCTGGAAGACGTGAGCGTCCAGTTGGGAAAGGCGGTTCTTGCTCAGATTTAGTTCAGTTAGGTTGACCATCGCCTCAAAGAGTTCTGAACTAATGGAAGCTATTTGGTTACCATCTAGCTGCAGCTGCTCCAAATTGCTCTGCTCACTAAACACCTTGGGTGGGAGGACAGAGAGTGCGTTTGATGACAGTTTGATGGACCGAAGCTGTGGAGCACCATGGAAGGCTTCTGGTTGGATGTTGTCAAGAGTGTTGTGCGTGATCATCAGTCGTATCAGAAGAGAGAACGGCTGGAAACTTCTGTCTTTGAGGACCTTTATGTTTGTGTCATTTAGCAGGAGTAGGAAGGTTGTTGTTGGGTCGAGAGGGGGTATGTCAGTGATGTCCCCAATGCATTTTGCAGAACCCCTAATGTCACAAACGCACCCATTGGGACAATGAGCACTGAGGGTGAGCTGAGGCAGAAGTTGAAGTAGAACAAACGTGAACCACATACTCTCAAACTGGGGAACAAATACAGGCTTAAGTCATTATAAGAGTCTTCTTCATTATATAATTGATCAGTTTTCATTTTATAAATTGCAGCATGTACAATAAAAAAGCTCTGATATTGAAAAAAACCTGATCATGCTTTAAAGCGATGACTCCCTCTCATGTTGTTCCAAAGCTGTGTGACCTCATTCCTTCTTTATTTTTTTGTCCATTGAGTCCAAAACAGCATTAGACTCAGTGGACCACTTAGACTCAATTTTTGTCCACTGGCTCTAAAACACCTTTGGACCCAATTGACTTTAATTATATGGATAGAAAACACAGTTTCCAAAATATATTCTTTTATGTTCCACTGAAGAGAGAAAGTCATGCAGGTTTGGAATGACATAAGAACGAGAACATTTCTGGGCGAACTATTCCTTTAAGTTACCAAAACAAATAAATTAAGTAGCAATGTTATACTTACCTCTCACAAGTATTGAAGACTGTCTAGCTAAAACGGACGCATTCTGCTTTTAATAACCATACTTTGGAAATAGCTCTTCCCTTTTTACACTTATCATAGTCTGCAGTGCAGCCCACATGGAAGCCTGCATCCGTCTTGATGAGTTTTTTTTTTTTTGTCTTTATTGTGTGTACTTGTAAGGCATTGTTTTTTTTTTGTTTTTTTTTGTGAAGAAGCCAAAATAAAATAACATTTTCCTTATTTTTGTTGGACAGTTTTTATCTATTTGTACCTAAATTGTGTCTCTAATACTTTTTTTTTTTACATTATTTATGTCCATTATTCTCAGTGTTCATATGTTCATGTGTGTCCTTAAAAGGTTAGTTCACCCAAAAATGATCGTTTTTGGACCTCATGTCATTCCAAGCCAGTATGAGTTTCATTCTTCTGTTGAGTACAAAAGAAGATATTTTGAAGAATGTTGGTAACCAAACAGTCAGCGGTAGCCATTGACTTCCATAGTATATGGGAAAATACTGTGGAAGTCAATGGCTACCGTCAACTCTTTGGTTAATATATTCTTTTGTGTTTAACAGAAAAAAATAAACTTGTAAAGTTTTTATTTTTTTATTATTTTATTTTTATATTTTTATGAGGGGGGGGGGACTATTCCTTTAAGACAGTTCAACTCCAACTTGCCTCAACACACCTACCTGAAAGTTTCTAGTATACCTAGTAAGATCTTGATTAGCTGGTTCAGGTGTGTTTGATTAGGGTTGGAGCTAAACTCTGCAGAACACCGGCCCTCCAGGACCGAGTTTCGGATCTGGTTCTTCTGTAGCATTAGCACCAACAGGTTGCTTAAATGGTCAAAGGAACCACTTTCAAGTGTCTCCAATTGGTTGGACGAGATCACCAGAGATTTGAGTTGCCGGAGGTTGTGGAAAAGGGTCTTCGGGAGGTTCCTCAGTTGGTTATCAGCTAAGTTTAGGTAATTCAGCTTGGTCAAACTCTGGAAGACGTGAGCGTCCAGTTGGGAAAGGCGGTTCTTGCTCAGATTTAGTTCAGTTAGGTTGACCATCGCCTCAAAGAGTTCTGAACTAATGGAAGCTATTTGGTTACCATCTAGCTGCAGCTGCTCCAAATTGCTCTGCTCACTAAACACCTTGGGTGGGAGGACAGAGAGTGCGTTTGATGACAGTTTGATGGACCGAAGCTGTGGAGCACCATGGAAGGCTTCTGGTTGGATGTTGTCAAGAGTGTTGTGCGTGATCATCAGTCGTATCAGAAGAGAGAACGGCTGGAAACTTCTGTCTTTGAGGACCTTTATGTTTGTGTCATTTAGCAGGAGTAGGAAGGTTGTTGTTGGGTCGAGAGGGGGTATGTCAGTGATGTCCCCAATGCATTTTGCAGAACCCCTAATGTCACAAACGCACCCATTGGGACAATGAGCACTGAGGGTGAGCTGAGGCAGAAGTTGAAGTAGAACAAACGTGAACCACATACTCTCAAACTGGGGAACAAATACAGGCTTAAGTCATTATAAGAGTCTTCTTCATTATATAATTGATCAGTTTTCATTTTATAAATTGCAGCATGTACAATAAAAAAGCTCTGATATTGAAAAAAACCTGATCATGCTTTAAAGCGATGACTCCCTCTCATGTTGTTCCAAAGCTGTGTGACCTCATTCCTTCTTTATTTTTTTGTCCATTGAGTCCAAAACAGCATTAGACTCAGTGGACCACTTAGACTCAATTTTTGTCCACTGGCTCTAAAACACCTTTGGACCCAATTGACTTTAATTATATGGATAGAAAACACAGTTTCCAAAATATATTCTTTTATGTTCCACAAAAATGAAAAATTCTGACATCGTTTTTGGTCCTCATGTCATTCCAAGCCAGTATGAGTTTCATTCTTCTGTTGAGTACAAAAGAAGATATTTTGAAGAATGTTGGTAACCAAACAGTCAGCGGTAGCCATTGACTTCCATAGTATATGGGAAAATACTGTGGAAGTCAATGGCTACCGTCAACTCTTTGGTTAATATATTCTTTTGTGTTTAACAGAAAAAAATAAACTTGTACAGTTTTTATTTTTTTATTATTTTATTTTTATATTTTTATGAGGGGGGGGACTATTCCTTTAAGACAGTTCAACTCCAACTTGCCTCAACACACCTACCTGAAAGTTTCTAGTATAGTTTCATTCTTCTGTTGAGTACAAAAGAAGATATTTTGAAGAATGTTGGTAACCAAACAGTCAGCGGTAGCCATTGACTTCCATAGTATATGGGAAAATACTGTGGAAGTCAATGGCTACCGTCAACTCTTTGGTTAATATATTCTTTTGTGTTTAACAGAAAAAAATAAACTTGTAAAGTTTTTATTTTTTTATTATTTTATTTTTATATTTTTATGAGGGGGGGGGGACTATTCCTTTAAGACAGTTCAACTCCAACTTGCCTCAACACACCTACCTGAAAGTTTCTAGTATACCTAGTAAGATCTTGATTAGCTGGTTCAGGTGTGTTTGATTAGGGTTGGAGCTAAACTCTGCAGAACACCGGCCCTCCAGGACCGAGTTTGTAGACCCCTGCTCTAGGTATAATATGTGTTGTTCAACAAAGTCTTAACACTAGAGGGAGACAAAAGCTCTTAAAAAGCCAATCAGTTTTAGCTTATTTAATTTTGACATTATTGTACAATTGACATTGTAAAATTATGTACTCGTGTTTAATTTGATCTCAAGATCCTTTAAAAAAAATAGGGAATATTTTGCACAATGAGATGAAAGAGTAAAATCAATCAATTTCACTTGATGTTTTATTGATATGACATTTAAATAAACTACATTTTTGTTATACGAGTACAGTCATGAGTACATCGTAACTATCATGACATTCCATATCTGAAAAAGTTCTGCTTGTTTGACACGTCGTAAGGCATTAGATGATTTTGCTGATTTTCTTGCTCCTGGCTCTTCAGATTAAGATCCTCAAACACAGTATTTCCAGAAACAGGCTAAAATAAAAATGTAAAAAAAAAAAAAAATTACATCTGCATTTATGCAATTGACAGACACTGCATTAAAGATATACATTATATCTGTTCATTAAAAAGCAATGCTTACCATCATCTCTTTTGCTGGTCATCAATCTCTCTTTTTCTATTGCATTTGACACCAATTTTCTTTCTACATTTAGCTCCTCTTGAAGAGCCTCGAGCTGAAACAGCAAGCTGACAATTAGCTTTTGTAATAATAGTTGCTTTTAACATACATACATATATATATGCAAGCTGACAATTAGCTTTTGTAATAATAGTTTCTTTTAACATACATACATATATATATATATATATATATATATATATATATATATATATATATATATGTGTGTGTGTGTGTGTGTGTAATTTTTTTAATTTAATTAAAATTAATTTAACATTTAATTGTATTTAACTTCCTTCCATGATTTGCACATGACCAAAATTAAACATACCTCCTGCAGCTCTGCGATTTTTCTGGCCAGTTTGAGTTCTGCAATTCAGGAAGAACAAGTAACTAAGTGCAGGTTTGTGGATTATAAGATGTTTATTAACTTTTAATTCATACACATTTGCTAGGAGTAAGACAATCTGTGCAACACACAAATAAAATGCATTTATTTACCTATTACATCCTTTTCTTGGACAGGCATGATGTTTTTCCGTAGCAGAAATGCCCAAATCTGGTTCTGGACGTCTGAATCATCCTTTGAATGGAAAACCTGGTTGACTGTAAAAATGGAAATATGCAATTCAGCACACAATCAGCCAATTAAGATACAACGAGACTGATTTAAATGAATTCTCTGATCAAAAACTTCACTTCAGTCAGTCATTTAGATCAGATTAGTAGCCTGTACTCATCTGGACTTGCAAGGCTTCTTGTGTGAACGTTGAGAGCACCAATCAGAAGTAAAAAAGCAAGTCGTGGAAGAAGACTTCCTGAGAATAGTCTGTCCATGGCACTGAAGGAATGATCCTGGTGTGTATTTGCTCCTGCTTGACCAAAGGCTCTTCTGCTGGAGGCTCATCAGATGGGACACATTTAATCAAGCGTGAAGACGTCAAAAACTTCACTTCAGTCAGTCATTTAGATCAGATTAGTAGCCTGTACTCATCTGGACTTGCAAGGCTTCTTGTGTGAACGTTGAGAGCACCAATCAGAAGTAAAAAAGCAAGTCGTGGAAGAAGACTTCCTGAGAATAGTCTGTCCATGGCACTGAAGGAATGATCCTGGTGTGTATTTGCTCCTGCTTGACCAAAGGCTCTTCTGCTGGAGGCTCATCAGATGGGACACTTTTAATCAAGCGTGAAGACATGAGGATGTGTCATCGCTGTAAATCAAAAGTGTGACGGTGTACGTTCTGTCTCTAAAAAGGGTCCGTGACAGCCAGGACTGATGTTCTGATGTGGTCTCAGGGCCAACGACGAGCAATCAGTCAGCGGCGGTGTATGTTGGGACAAGAGTAAATCACCGGCACTACTGGGGATCATTCATCTGTGGATGGTAAAGTGTTCCTGGCATTCTTCTTTTAATTTAACTAAAAGTATATAAACGTATTGTCAGTGCCTAGAATAACAAAAACATGATGATGGATTTCATATGATATAATGTCATTTTGGTGACTTTTACATCTGATAGAAACTTCAGTTGGATAAAGACTTAAAAACATTGAGATCCATATCCATAATTAACAAACCTGTTGTGTAAAAATAATATTTTTTTTGTGTGTGTTTTTATTTTCTATATTATAGCTTTTTTACAATTTTCATAACATCAATGACACAATAATTACAATTACATATTTATAATTACAATTATATATTTCTTAAAAAATAATGATAAATCATATTCCAAATTATTATACTGAGTTACTCTGCTGCATATTTACCATATATATATATTATTTTTTTTATTGCATTAAAACCTATAAAAGAAAATCAGATCCATGTCATCATGTTAAAAAAATATTTAAGTTAAGTTCATTTTATTTTCTATGTGTTAGATATTTTAGCTTATAACTTTTTCTATTTACTTTTTTAAATTTCTATCAATCATTACAGCATTGACGTAATACCATATAATTACAAAATAATTACAATATTTCTTAAAAATAATAATAAATACAATTTCATCAAATATTGTACTATGTATTTACCATGAAATATTTTGTTGTTATAATGCTGATTATTTAATTTTTTATTTTTTTCCTAAAAGGAAAACTTTGGAAGTGAGGTATTTTCCATTCGATAGAAACTCTAATTGAAAAAAAATAATAATAATTACAATACTTTACAGACATTTTATAATTATCATTTATAATAGCTTTGGATATTTTAACTTTTAAGCTTTCTTACAGTAATTCATCAATAAATAATTCATCAGTTAATATAAGCTCTTGGTTACTCTATATTTAACATATAGAGTAGGCATATTTAACATATTAATATTAACACATTTACATTTTATAATATACATATATTTTAATATTTTAAAATCGTGGAAGCACCAGAGTGAGTAGCTGCATTTTCCAAAAGTGTGATAGAAAAAGAGTGATAGAGAAATGAATAATCTATTAATAAGTGTTTATACTGGCCTGAAATAAATGAGACATTCCTCAAACTTAAATACCGACCATTAACTGGGTTTTTAAATATGTACAGAACATGCAGGTGGCTTACTACTGACAGAATCTGGGAGCTGCAGGATTCGAGGACTGCTCGGGTTCACTGGGTGTGTGACGTGTGTTCTCTCTGCGTGATGACCCTCCCTGCCATCCGTAGCAAACACACACTCCGCTTTTTCTTGGTGTGTGTGTGTCAGCTCATAATATTCATCTGCTGTGGGTACAGAGGGAGGGACGGACAGAAACCTCGGCTGGCGGCAGAAACCAATCAGAGCGACACATTCCCGAAGACATCGATCGGGATTTATTAATCTGACGGAAACCGCCATCAGTCAATAACAATAACCTTCAGAAACATTAAGCGCCGACGACATGGCTGATTTTACTATTGATAAGAACAACCTGCCTGGTGTAAAAGAGGGTGAGTGAAGAAGAAGATGATGATGGTGGTGCGCGTACGTTGTGTGTTACTGCGTTAAAATAAACGCGAGCTTAATTCAGATGGCCTGTCAGATGATTCAAAACGAGCAAACACGGTTACATATCATTACATTGTGGTGAATTACGAAGGTAAACTGTTATTTTGACTGTCAGTAAATTGGTTACCTTTTGTACCATGAACCATATATGTACCATATTTGCTGAAGGGAGTTAAGTCAAACAGCCATTGAAAACGCTGTTACTGAGAAACGCCGCTATTAATATCCATCTGATATAGAAAGAGAAAGCGAATGAATTCGGGCCTGTTTTGCCTCAGATATCGTGTAATAGATGGCGTGTGCGATGCCTGACGTTAGCTTTAGCTTGAATTTCCCCTTTCTTCTCGTAGGCCTATTATTAGTGGACTTCTTCCTCTCCTTCATTAGCCATCTATGTGAAGTGAAATTAGATTCAATTAAATGAGGGTGAGGAGAGTAGGACTCGGTCACAAGTGTGTGTTTGTGTGTGTACTGGTTTATATATCCTGGTGGGGACTTAAACCTGACTACACACAGACTCATGGGGACTCGTGTCATGGTGGGGATCTAAATTGTGGTCCCCACAGGTACAAAAGCTTATAAATCATACAGAATTAAGTTTTTTGAAAATCTAAAAATGCAGAAAGTTTCCTGTGAGGGGTAGGGTTGGTGTAGGGCAATAAAATATAAGGTCTGTACAGTAGAAAAAACATTACTCCTATGGAGAGTCCCCACAAGGATAGCTTACCAGACGTGTGTGTGTGTGTGTGCGCGCGGTCAGCAGTGTGAATGCTGGCACATGTGTTGAGAGATTCATGAAAATCTTCTACATACTGAAGATGTCTGTGGTGCAACACAAGCTGTTGATGACTAATCATGTTATTAAGGGGGGGGAGATAGCTTTGCAGGATTTCAACCCACTAATTTTAACCTCATTTGATGCTTAGGATGGATTAGTGTTTACAGACCCTGTCATTTCTGCCCCAAATCCAGTTTGTGATAGTATATGAGCTTCAGATTCAGTTATTGGTCAGAAACCAGTAGCTAATTTATGGGGGTAGAATTGTTGCTTAATTCCAAATAAATAGATTATGATCCATGGATTGTCAGCACGTCTTGACGCAAGAAATGTTTCACAATTCGCAAATGCACAGGACACGATTCACAAATGCGTGCGCTATCTACAAATGCACAGGACGCGATTCACAAATAAATGCCAGGTAAAGTTGTGGTTGTGACATAAATATATATTTGTGAATATGTTTTTTATTTGCAAATCTCATTTTATTTATTTGTGAATTTAATTCATGTTTGTGAAACTTTAAGATTTATTTGTGGATCTCATTCTATTTATTTGTGGATCATAATCTATACAACAATTCTACCCCCATACTAATTGGGCACCAAATGTTGGTTTCTAGTTATTTCATATCAAATAAGGGATTTTAACATAAAAGGATTGTTTACCCAAAAATGAAAATTAGGTCATTATTTGCTCACACTCATGACGTTCCTCATATTTTGAAGATTGTTGGTAACCAAACAGTTGCTGGTAGCATTGACATTCATATGGAATCACAGGCTACCGTTAACTGTTTGGTTACCAACAATCTTCAAAAATAAAATTTAAAAAAATACATCAAAAATTTAAAGAAGTTTCGATATATAATTTTCGCTCAGATTCAGTTGTTGGTCTGAAACAGAATTTCAAAAAAATCAAGCTAATTAGGAACCGAATGTTGATTTCTAGTTGCATATGTGATTTTAACTGTTAAATACAGTAAAGTTGTTTAAAATGAGCTACTTTTCGTTTAGGTTCAGTTATTGGTCTGAAACTGAAATTCAGAAATCAAGTAGCCTGATTCTAGCTAATTGGGGATCAAATGATGGTTTGTAGTTATTTATTTAAAGTAAAAAATAAAATATAGACTAACTTAAATACATTCCAGAAAGATAAGACCGCTGAAAGTTTAATGTTTGATGCATTTAAAACAAGCAATTTTTCATTCAGATTCCGTGATTGGTGTGGAACTGGAAAAAAAATTCTGCCTAATTGGTGACCAAATGTTGCTTATGTATTTAATAATATAAGTTACTTTAACTTAAATACATAGAAGGTTAAGATCTTTAGAGGTGGGACAGGCCAAATTCACCAATTTTAAGGAGTTTGGTGTTTTTAAAATGAACTGCTTTTCATTCAGATTCAGTTACTGGTTTGAAACTGAATGTCAGAAATCAAGTAATTCTAGCTAATTGGGGACCAAATGTTGGTTTCTAGGTAAATATTTCATGTAAATTAAACAATATTAACAATATACAAACAGTATCAACTGCTCTATTTGTTTCTGTTTATTTTGTTATATTAACCCCATAGCAATTCCTGTGAAAACCTCGACTGTAAACTTCAGAATGTCGTAGCATTTGGTACCGCTTAAAAGTTTGCACATGTTTATGCGAAAGTGGATCTGGAGTTTAATACGTTTTCAACTTATTAACAGGATGAAGACGAGCACCATCCCACATTTATCACTCACGAGTTTCTGTTTGTTTCTCCTTGAAGAATGTCCTTGTGGTTTCTGTTTTCAGTCATTTTGTGCATGTGGATTCAGCATTTTGTTGTTGAGTTGCAGCTGCTCTTTGCTCATGAAGGCAAAGATTCAAGCCTTAATGAAGCATAAAAAAGCAGATAAGAGGAT